ACATACTTAAATCTGAATTTCTAAAAATCAGATATGATTTTATTCTCATCTGCCGTCATATTTCTAGACCTCTAGCATGACCCAACCTAGTTTTGCCTCTGTGAAGTCAGCTAGAATTGTGTGCACTCTGTCACAAAAGATAACTTTCCCCCTTGTTTAGTTTCATTGGGAATTTGTTTTTACTGCATGTTTGCAGGCATAAATCATTCTGACAAATAACCAGTTACACTGGTGCCTGTGTTTACTGAGTCTGCCACAAGATGCTGCTCAGTTTTATTTAAGCAACTGCTCCAACTCTACAGCACAACCCCATTACAGTGATAGTTATTCATCACAGTCTGAGAGGTCTGCCCTCTTAAAGCTCGCAGTGGACCAGCTGCTTTGTTGCTGTCAACATCAGGTCCTACAGAACCTGCTTTGATACACATTACCGGAACATTTAATAAAAATCTACTTCAAGGTTGTTAAACCTATAGGTTAGTTCTAATTAGAGATTTTTCCCCTGGGCTTTATCAAGCTGTTGATTTTGTTTTCTTTCTTAGATAATCTGAGAAATGTTAAGCCCCTTGCACTGACTTAATAACAAATCAAAATATATTTAATTTCAATATAAATCTAGCTGTTCTGTGAAAGCCTTAGGGGTTTGTTTGAAAATATTTATTGCATAAACTACCAATTTAAGAGCAAGGAACACAGCAGAAAGGCCATGAATAAAGTTTTGGTGAAGAATAGAAAAAAATATATATATAAAACAAACCTCAAAAACATAATTCTCCACCTATAGCAAATGGAAAGGCTGAAGAATAAACAAGAGACGACCATTACTTACAAAGGCCCCAAATAAAATCACTGTTTGCAGTTAGCTCCTCCATGTTGGGGACACAGCAACCATGCAGATAAACTGATCTGTTCAGATGATACCACATTTTAACTTTTTGGTCCGAATATAAAGTGTCATATGTGGGGAAAAAACTAACACTCCAGATAACTTTAACCTTGTGTGAAGCATGGTGGTGGCATCATCATCCTGCAGGAATATTTTCTTTACCAGAAATTTGCAAAGCTGGTCAGAGTTGATGGAATGAACTAAGCTAAATATGTGAGAATACTAGAGATAAATCTGTTAGAAGCTGCAAAACACTTGAGAATAAGGTGGTGAATCACCTTTTACTGGTTTGGATAAAACCAACCAACTGAAAATCTTGGCAATTTTCCAAAATTTATTTTCACCCGATCTGAACTTGAGCTATAAAGAAATAAAAAAAACAATAAACTGTCAAACATTAGAATCTACATGTGCAAAGATAGTAGATACTTGCAGCTGTAAATGTTTTAGATATCTAGTTTATTCACTATTAATAACCCCTTACTTCAGAATCATGTAATAGTTTGTGTTGGTCTTTTATATGAATTCCTAATTGAATACACATAAACTTGTGATGTGGAAAAATAAAAAAAATTTCATGAGTAAGAGGTAAGCTTTATTATAAAGTTATGTATGTAATAATAAAAACGTAATTTTGCCTGCTTTCTCCCAGCTGTAGGCTCCAAACTCCTACCATGCAGGCTCTCATGTATACTATTTCGCCTACCTAAACCACCCTTTCTGTGAGACAAACAGCCTTATTAGCTGGTCATTAGCTGCCTCATTACATTTAAACACAGACATTGACTGGGGATCTTCCTAGTACCTCATTATTGCGCCTGGCTGCTGTCTTGTGTCTGATCTGACGCTAATTAGAAAGCAGCGTGTAAATGCTGTAAAGCACACTTGCTTCACAGGTTGTGAAATGGGCTGACTGCTCCCTGGTGACAGCGCAGCACTGTATTATATGTGTGATTAATCAGGCCTGGAGCCCTGTAGCGGCTGAGGAAGGGTGGGGTGGGCGATGGGAGGGGGGGTTTACGGGGCAGAGGCCAGAGCCGCAGTTGTCTGACAGAGGTGCTGTGCCAGCAGGCCTCATTCAGCGGAGCTGTGATGAACTCAGACAGGGGAGAGTGAAGGAGCGCCTCATGGCCAGAGGGCCCCGGACACAGTCAAGACATTTAGCTTCAACCGTGACTTGTGTCACTTTCTCTCCACGGAGGTCCCTTCAATGCATCCCCTTCAGATAGGAGGACGTGCGAACAGCCAGTCTGTCAGTCCACTCGCTTAAAAAAAGATCTGCCACAAAGGCATTTCTGCACAACATATTTTTTCCCCTTATCTCTTCTGGCTGAAGAATTTCATCAGGACGCCTGGCTCAGGATCTCTTCTGGTTTGTTCTTGGCTGACAGAAAGCTGTTTGTTATAGAGTTCTGACACCCTGGCGATGTGTTTGTCGATCAGTTCATCAGATCGCCGAAGCCTCTGGGTTGTCCCTCGTGGACAAGAACGAAGATGTGTTGACGTGCGAGTCAGAATAGCCTGCCGGGCCCATTATCGTCCATTGCTGACGGATACATTGAAGGGCTTGTTGGGTAGATGCGGGTTTATTAAAAGCTCTGCCCACAGCGATGGCTGTTGTTATTTATGCATGTTTGTGTCCATTAGGCTTCTAGCTCCACATTTCCTCACTAAGGGCATCTGCCCATCCATTTCCCCACATGATAGCCACATTCCCTGCACTTTGTGCAGCACTGGCATTATTGTAATCGGCCTCCTAAAAACACACTGCTTTAAAATTTTTTACATTAGTGCCACTCTCTCATCTAAGATTCATGAATGACAGTTTCCCCATCCATTTCTCAATCTAATGGTATAAAAGAGACAATGTTTTAAACATTAAAATGAAAACCATTTACAACTATGATCAAAAGAGAACACTTGGGCATTAAAGTTTAAAAGGTAAGGATAAGTACAGCCATGTGGATGGACAGATGAGGTGGAAAAGAGATAAAAAAAAGTGAAGTACGATGCACTCCTATGTACGGGAAAGAGGCATAAAGTGCTTCTGCACTGCGCTGCAAAACGCTGACCTGTAATTAATATGGTTATACCTCAAGGCAATTTCAGGATGGTTGCTTTTTGAGATACAAATCCCTCAAGGTTTCTTACCTGCTCAGGACCAAAGCACTGTGTAAAAAAGTTTCAGTGTTAGTCAAAACAATATTTGTTGTTGAGTTACAACATATTAGTGTCTATGCTTAATGAATCTTGATGTAAAATAAGAAAATAATGTTCCTTAGTGTAGTCATTTACTGACCACTGTTCATTTACTGTTTCATTTACTGTTGACTTCAACTTCAGAGATCTCAAGTAACGAAGTACAAATACTTCGTTACTGTACTTAAGTACACTTTTTAGGTATCTATACTTTACTCCATTACTTATTTTTCTTCCTACTTCTGACTTCTACTCATTACATTTTCACACAAGTATCTATACTTTTTTATTCCTTACATTTTTAAAACAAACGTTACTCATTACTCTTGGCTTCGGTTTAATGCAGAAGTCACGAATTAGCGGACCGCGGTCTGGATCCACCTGCTGGCTAATCTGGACCCAACCTAATTTAAAACATTTATAAATGACCACATGTTGTTGGATGACAGCATCTAAACGTCACTTGCACCGCTTCTCCTGTTACCCAGAAATCCCACATCCTCCGTCTCCTCCTCCTTCGAGCTCGAGGAGAGCATGTACGATATTGTCATTAAATTCGTAGGAGCAAAACATGCAGAAATGAACGCTTAATTTAATATGACATATTAAAAAAATCCCCGCCAGCATCCAGCATATGTGTGGTTTCTGATGGAGATGAAAAATCTGCTTCCTGGTATGTATAAGTACCAATAGTTTGCATCCAATCTTTAAATAAACTGTGTTAGTTTTTTTTTTAAATTTAATTTATAAGAATTATGTTCTAATTTGTAGTTAACAATCTTTTGTTACTATATTTTAATTTGACCAACCAGATTTTCTCGCCATTCTTTTTCCTCTTTGGTGTGATTGCAATAGAGGATCTTGACCTGGCCGGACTGGAGGGGAAGCTGCACATTTTGAGGATGTTTGGCCCAACCTGCTGCTGTGAAGCAGGATTCTCCAACATGAACAGAATAAAAAATAAATATGGATCCAGGCTCAAAATGAGCACCTTGATATGTGCTTGAGAATGGCTTTGTCCCTAATCAAACCCAGGTTTAAAGCCTTGCAGGGCAGCCTAAAGCCCACTGTTCTCATTAAGCCAGAAAAAAAAAATAAAATAACGATCAGTTCAGGTGTTTTATAAAATATGTGAATCAGGAAATTGTCTATATAAAACTGAAAGATTGTTGTTACTTCAAAAAACACTTTAGATTTTAAAACGGAAAAATTTTCTATTTTTTATTTTTTTTTTAATTCAATATAACATGAATGCATAAACACCTAATTTTATTTCAGTATTAAATTCTGTTTAAAGTAGCAGATCATTAAAAATATCTCCAGACCTTTACTGGTTGATGATTTTCTTTATTCGGACGGATTTTTAATTGGATACTCCTGGTTTTATGTTTATAAATATTTATTTCACATCATGTGCGCCATCCAATGTAGATCATTGGCTCCATCCACATCTAGTGAAAACTAGTGTGATTGGATGAGTCATATAGCGCAAACACTCATTGATTAGTTAAAGGAAATCATCAGAAGCAAGCAGGTTGTCTGCAAACGCAAATTGTCTATGCCATGCTACAATGTCAGATTCAAAAAAATATGTTGAAATGTCAGAAAGGTCGGACACAGTCGAGAGCGTATCGGGAGATGGAGACAGAGACCAACAAGACTTCCCTCATCCTTGGCGCTATCTCAAAGAATTTTTCGAAATAGTCAAAAAATCAATTCATATAGTGACATCTGGCTGTTGTTTTTAAAGGTTACTTTATACTTCAATTAGTTTTTGGAGCACATACTTTTTCACTTTTTACTTGAGTAAAGAGGTAAAGTTGATACTTCAACTTTTACCAGAGTGTTTTTAAACTGCAGTATCTATACTTCTACTTAAGTAACAGAAGTGGGTACTTCTGACACCACTGCTCACCTTGCAGGTTCTGTAGAGGGAGCGTCATGATTCCCCCTGCAGCGGCAGCAGCCACCAGGCTCTGGATGTTGGCCGTGGGCAGAGAGAGCACCAGGCCCTGCTGTCCACCAAGGTGTCCGCCTGCATTGAAAGGGATAAGGATGGGCTGGTTCATGCCTGGCGTCGCCCCGGACATCACGCCACCCACTGCGTTGGCTAATTGCTGGGCCACCAGGAGAGACTGCAGAGGAAACATAGACATACTGTACATGAATTGCCTTTGAACAAAGATTGGTGGCATTTCTTTAAAACTTGTACAAATGAGTTTTTCAAGACATTTTTCCCAAGCAGATCTTTTATTTAGTTTTGATGACCATAAAAAGTTTGTTTTATTATTTCACAACTAGAATCACTGGTTGTTCCCAAATTTCGATACCAATTTGTCTTTTAATAACTGCAGCATTAAATATATAAGAACAAGCTTCTAAATTTTATGAAACCTTTCACAGCAATACAGTTAAAGCGATCTAATGACTTCAGTTTTATAATTGTTATGCTGATTACGTCATTATACAGAACAAACACAGACGCTACTGATGATTTATAACTGTGTTAATATTTTGATTATTATTTAATATTTTTTCAACAATGTTAATGTCAATTATGATGCCTTTGCTCAGATTTTATGCTATAGGGTTGATTTATTCAACAGTAGTATCTTAATCTGCATCAGATATCGCCAATCACTCTCAATCCTCTTATCGTTATCAGACTGGATGGAAAAAAACTGATTGGTGCATTTCTATTAATTATGATCACCGAAGAATCTAAACTGAAACTTAATGCTACATCAATTTTTTTTTATAGATATAGAGAATACATTTGTTCAATGAGGTGCTACAATAATGTAACTGTCTTTTTATATATATATATTCATGTGAGCCTTTTTAGATATCTATATTTTTCTTAAAACCATCTTGTTGTTGCCCTCTCATGGTAGCTATTGCAGTTGAAGTGTTTCAAATGGCACATGCTGGTGTGAACCTTTGTCATTATAGACCCACATTCAGGTATTAATACAACTCCATCAGACACTCATCCCAGTCGAGTCATCCCATTCTCCACCGCTGAGCAACATGAACTTCAGGAATTGCTTAGTCAGCACTTTTAAGCAAGCGGTTCAAACTGATATATCTCAGATCGACTGGGATCCAGAAAGCCCACATCAACCTCTGGTGAAGGGGGGGATGAAAAATGCTCCACCAACTACAAGCTTCCCTTTACTCACTGTCCATGCTTTAATAAGGCTAAGTTAGTCTAGGCCAAGCTAGCTGTCACATTCTCTTGTCTAAACTGTTCATACTTAGCCCTGGATACCCCTCAGGATCTTTTGGCACGGACCACTTTGGTGGCATTTCTATTCTTTGTCTTGGGGTATTAAAATTTCTATGCAAAAAGTGATGCATAGAATATGAATCTTTGGCCTTAGTATCTGTTTTTCCGAATTATTTTGTCTGAAAAATTTGCTGAAGTTTGAATTAAAGAGTGCAATTTTGAACCAGAAATGTCTACTTTAGCCAAATAAAGTAGCTTTTACTTGATATGGGAGAATGTGTTTGATGGATAGATGGGCAAGTCAGCAGTCAAATATTGCTTTCTCAGAACAGAGCTCCATCTTTGTTAGAGAGCAAAGAATTTATATCTCATAGAGACTCAGTAAAAATTTTCCCCTTTGAAAAAAAAATCACTGGCAACAAAGAATAATGTGCTTGAAATAGGCAGAGCTTTTGAAGAAATCAGCAGTACTTTGCTCTTTTGAAGAGGGTTGTAACACATCAGTTCTCTTGGATTTGTTCATTTTATCTAAGTTAAAGTAAAATCGTTTCGGGAATCCTAACCGTGTAAAGATGTGTTATCAAAGAAATCTCTATAATCTACTTTTTCCACCAACAGCTCACTACAAATGTGTCCTTCAAACCAGCGGGTTTCCAGTTATAGACATCTGGGCTTTAACCCGGTGGTTAAAATCTACAGATGTATGAAGAGAAAACATATTTAAGTCTAACCTATGCAAAATTTTTGAAATTATGTCAGCATTTGTTAATGTCAAATGTAATCATACAAGCAACATAAGACAGGAAATAGCGGTGATATTGCAAAGTTCAACAATACTCCCAGAGTAAACATGGGATTGAATTGTTTGAAATAAAATAATAAAAGCATTATGTCAGCTTGTATTGCACTCACAGTAAAGTAGGCTGCCTCAGACATTGCAGAACATGCCTGGTTGCACTGTGCACACAAAAGTTTACAAGCCTTTAACTCCAATTGTCAGCTCTCTGCTTTGTTTTGCATGGTGTGTGTGCACCTTGTGTAGGATGCAGAGCTGGTCGACTCTTAGGACCACATGCTCCTGGGAGACAGGCGTGTCACAGCGATAACTTTACACATTTCTGAGTGTTTGCACCTACTCCAGCCTGCATGTGATCAGAAAGAGAGCTCGGGCCCCAGAAAACAAATAAAAAGTTGCATTTGATATGAAGCTGTTAAAAAGAGGGGTTGAGTGCTGCTGACAGAATTGCTCACAAACACTGTAAAGTATTCCTCAACTCAACGTTTGCTTTGATATACAACAGCAGTGCATAACAAATCTGAAGCATCTGAGAGCATACATAATAGCATTTGCCATTAACTTTAGAAAAATGAATTAATTATTTGGGGGCTCAAAGAATCCTCAAAGGGACAGATACAGAAATGACGCGTTTGTTAGCAGTGGGTGACACATTTGTAATCTTGCTTTTTTTTTTTAAACTAAATTTAATCTCAAACAGACACAGCCCCCAATCAAAGGGTCTCCTTAGACATTTCATCTGTGTATCAAACAAAATGAGATCGCCCAGCTTGACAGTAAAGACAGCCTCAGATAGAAGGGAATAGCATTAAAAGACAATTATGAGATGTAGTGCCGATGTATTCATCGTTACAGGCGGCTTTAGAGACGCTGGTAGCTGCTAAGAGAAAGCAGAGGAGAAATGTTTAGGTGGTGATCATATGCTTAGATAACTGCTGATGTGCACATCAAGATCTGACACCAGAACAATCGTAGACAGAACAGAATTACTGCAGTTTGAATCCAAAAGCATTCCTAACCCAAAGTTTCTAAACCCCTTCAATTTTCCCACTTTTTGCTCACTCATTCTAATTGGCTAGAGAGTATTCATGGATGTTAATTTTCAGGTCTGGGGCTATTATAACACATGAATATGTTAAATCCTTCCGCTGCAGCTCTAGGCTATTGTTTGGTGTTGCGGTTGTTGTCAGGGTTTGTGGATGTAGGTCCAAGAGGCTTAATGTGGACCCAAATGCAGAGTAGAATGATGAAGGTAAGATTACTTATAAAATGTAATGAAAAAGTAAAAAAAAAAAAATAATCCAAAGTCCAGAACTGATCGACAAGGAATCTCAAGAACCAAAAATCTAGGAGACACATGGGAGGAATAAACCAAAGAATGACAAGGATCAAGCAATGAGTAACTGACCAGGAGGTGTGTATATATATATATATATATATATATATATATATATATGGAAAACAGAAACAATAGGAGGACTAATTAGCTGATAGAGAGCAGGTGTAGACAGAAGTACCTAGAAGGAGCTAAGGGAAAGTAGACTGGGACAAGGAGGGACAGAGCGTAACTCAAAAAATACAACACTGCTTAAATATAACACAAAATGGAAAAGAAACCAATGATAGAACGACATAAATCAAAGTGTAACTGAAAACTTAAAAGAAACTTAAACAGAAGTCCACAAAGGGCAGTAGTGTTGGAAGGTCAACCTCTGCTCCAGTCCTAAATCTTTGCAACCTTTAGAAGTGTGTTTGGGTTTGTTTTTGTTTTTTTCAAACCAGAGTGCCTTTTTTTGGCAAACTCGTGTCCCTTATTTGGAGTATAAAAAACTGCAATGAGGACTTCTCAGGGGCTTATTTTAGCAATGGACTTTTTTTCTCTTCTATAAAGGCCATATGTGTTGTCCTCTGGGTTGTCCTACATGAGCTGTGAATCTCTAATACCCCATTTACACTACCCTTGAAAAACCGTACCGAGAGCAGTCCGAGCTCAGTGGCTAAGATAACTTATCTTGTGTAAATGGAAAGCAAACTGAACTGAACCGAGCTAGACACAACCGAACCGAGCTAACTGCAGACCAGTTCCAGAGGTGGGCTCGGCTCGGTTTTTCCCTGGCTCGGTTCTCTGATAACAAGAGCGCATAAGCAGAACGCATCATCTCCGTCTGGCTGCACATCCCGATTCACACTCCGTTCCAGTAGTTGGCGGATAATGCCCCTCCGGAAATAATGGCATTTTAAATAATAACACCGAAGTACAGCAATAATAATCAAGCATAACTTTCTGAATGTGACGGGTGCCGCCATTTTGATTTGCTTGATTCCCTCTTTCTTCGTCTTCTTCTTCTTGTGTTTTAAGAACAAACAACTTTTGGTGCATTACCTCCACCAACTGCTTGATTTCCTCCTTCAGTACTGGCAGTAATACCGCAGATTGTCACTAGGAGGCGAGGAGTCGAGGAACTGAGATAGCGTGATGTGTAAACGGTCGTCAGAACCAAGCTCGGCCTGGTTAACTGATCCGAGCTCGGACCGGTAGTGTAAGGGTAGTGTAAATGGGGTATAAGTTACAGACCATAGTGCACAATCAGTTGTGTCCTATTTTGTAATGTTGTTTCAGATAAAACTCCATTGAAATATCTTGAATGTTGTAGTTGTAACCTGAAAATGTGTGAGAAAAAGTTCAGTGGGTATTTATACTTTTGGAAAACTCTGTCTCGTTTTGCTCAAAACCCTAAACTTTGCTAATCTAGATTAAGGAGCCGTCCGTCTCCTGGCTTTTGGCCTTAAAGCTCTCTGCTGTCCTCTCTGTAGGTGCTACCGGAAAGTTGCTGTACATCGCTTGGAAGACCTGACAGCTAAGTGTTGAGAAGTGGTCTCCTAGGGGCCCCACTGACACACAGACTGGGTTTAGCGTTGAGCTCTGGAAGAGGAAACAGCCCCACTCTGGACTGGATGTTCTACCCTGTCTCTCTGCTCATCAGGGGAGAATAGGCCCCTCCATCTGCTTGGCAGCTCTGGCACTGAGAAATTGCCCATAATCGCACAGATAGCAGACTTTTGTCATCCTGACTGCAATTGGGAAACAGAAAGAAGGTAGATTCATGTTGGGTAAACTACCATCAGATAATGGTTGTTTGAACAATATCCGGCTCTGAGGCGAGAATCTATCACAACATATTGATCCTGGAGCAGGAGAATTGGGTATGGCATGCGGAGCTCTTTTGTTTCTGAAAAGTGTTAGCTTCACAGACTGTACTGACAGCATTAATATATTAGATGGTGACTGCTGAGAGCCGCCTGCTGAGGATAAGACTGTAAGTGCTGCTTGCTTCTGCTCTTCTACCTCTTGAGTTTTTTCTTATCTAAATCAAAAACAGCATATATGACCAGATCTAGGTAATCAAAGAAATCTCCCTAAGCAGATTAATTCAACCAAAAGAGAAAACAATCTCTTTAAGTGGGGATTTGTCAGCATTTAAACCTCTCTAGTTAAACTCAACAACTCTCTTGTTGTCCAGTGTTTCCTCTTTTTTCTGTCCTGATGAGGGCTGACTGTCACTGAGCAACACTGAGAGCAGAGAGAATAGCCTTATTAAACAGGGTGAGGGGAACGTGAGATGCTCTGTGAGTGTGTGTTGACTGCTGACATGAAGCAACACTAACCAGATAGATGTTCATTAAACATCACTGGGGCACCAGGCCAATAAATCCAATCAGATAGGACAAAGCCTGATTGAGCTATTAACAAGGCTGGAGGCCGGGGCTCTCTGCTCTCTGCTTGTTGTGACAGAGCCTGTATTGTCAGCTTGTTAGTGCTGCAGCTCAATTACATTTGAAGATGATGTATGATGATTAAATATTTAAACATTTCACACCGTAGAATTCACTGAGGCTGTTTATGTGTTTCACACACAACATGCACTCAATAGGAACACAGAAAAGAAGCCTAATAGGAAGCGTCACTCTTTCAACCTGTAAGCTTTCTCTAATGGCTCTGAAAGTGCCACTTCTATGTACACTATATTGCCAAAAGTATTTGCTCACCCATCCAAATTATTGGAATCAGGTGTTCCAATCACTTTCATTGCCACAGGTGTATAAATTCAAGCACCTAGGCATGCAGACTGTTTTTACAAACATTTGTGAAAGAATGGGTCGCTCTCAGGAGCTCAGTGAATTCCAGCGTGGAACTGTGATAGGATGCCACCTGTGCAACAAATCAAGTCGTGAAATTTCCTCGCTCCTAAATATTCCACAGTCAACTGTCAGCTGTATTATAAGAAAATGGAAGTGTTTGGGAACGACAGCAACTCAGCCACGAAGTGGTAGGCCACGTAAACTGACGGAGCGGGGTCAGCGGATGCTGACGCGCATAGTGCGAAGAGGTCGCCAACTTTCTGCAGAGTCAATCACTACAGACCTCCAAACTTCATGTGGCCTTCAGATTAGCTCAAGAACAGTGCGCAGAGAGCTTCATGGAATGGGTTTCCATGGTCGAGCAGCTGCATCCAAGCCATACATCACCAAGTGCAATGCAAAGCGTCGGATGCGGTGGTGTAAAGCACGCCGCCACTGGACTCTAGAGCAGTGGAGACGCGTTCTCTGGAGTGACGAATCGCGCTTCTCCATCTGGCAATCTGATGGACGGGTCTGGGTTTGGCGGTTGCCAGGAGAACGGTACTTGTCTGACTGCATTGTGCCAAGTGTAAAGTTTGGTGGAGGGGGGATTATGGTGTGGGGTTGTTTTTCAGGAGCTGGGCTTGGCCCCCTAGTTCCAGTGAAAGGAACTCTGAATGCTTCAGCATACCAAGACATTTTGGACAATTCCATGCTCCCAACTTTGTGGGAACAGTTTGGAGCTGGCCCCTTCCTCTTCCAACATGACTGTGCACCAGTGCACAAAGCAAGGTCCATAAAGACATGGATGACAGAGTCTGGTGTGGATGAACTTGACTGGCCTGCACAGAGTCCTGACCTCAACCCGATAGAACACCTTTGGGATGAATTAGAGCGGAGACTGAGAGCAAGGCCTTCTCGTCCAACATCAGTGTGCGACCTCACAAATGCGCTTCTGGAAGAATGGTCAAAAATTCCCATAAACACACTCCTAAACCTTGTGGACAGCCTTCCCAGAAGAGTTGAAGCTGTTCTAGCTGCAAAGGGTGGACCGACGTCATATTGAACCCTATGGATTAGGAACGGGATGTCACTTAAGCTCATATGTGAGTCAAGGCAGGTGAGCAAATACTTTTGGCAATATAGTTTATCTTTGACTTCTTTTGGCATTATCTCTCTACACTGTAATGGATGGTTGATGACTCAGATGTTCCAGCAGAATGTGAAAAGATATTGGCACTTTATATAAAACTATTAGCTCTTCTCTACAAATCATTGAATTCAAGTTTTCTGTTCACCTCTTTGACCAGATATGTAGAACGCCTAAACACAAAGGCATGCAGTCTCAGAAAACATATGTGAAGGAATGGGTTGCTCTAAGAAGCTCAGGTTCAGAGCGGTACCGTGATATGAGCCCGCATGCAAGGTAAATTCCATCACTGCTATCAATTTTGCAGTCCATGTCTGTTGTATTTCCACAAAGTGTCAGTGATTGGGATCGACAGAAACTCAGCCACAAAGTGTTAGACCTAAAATCAGAGCGGCTGCCAGTGGAAACTGAAACACAGAGATTAAAGAGATTGCTAGCTTTCCATAGAGTCAATAGCTGCAGATCTCCAAGCTCGATGTGGCTTTCAGATTAGCTCAAGAACAGTGAATAAAGAACTTTATAGGTTGGTTTTCAATGGCATATGCAACTGAATCAGCCTTTCTTCACCAAATACAATATAAAGTGTTGAATGCATCGGTGTAACGGATGCAGCCGATCGGATCGAGCAGTGAAGACAGATTCTCTAGATTGACCAGTCATGGCTGTATAACTTTTAATTGGATGAGTCTATGTTCGGCATTTTCCAAAACCACATTACTTGCCTGGTTTTTTACATTTCTTTTAAAAAAAAAAAGTTTTTGGATGTAATGAATAATTTTGAATATAACTTAATTCTGATTATGAACATATGACCGAACACAAATGTATAATAATAATGAACGGTTGTGTCCCTTTATATACGTTAATATTCAGTACCTGTGTATATCAAAAAGTACAACTTGGAAATAACCCTTAAGGAAGTATTAAACATCTTAAACGTTAGGCTTTCATCAGCTTTAAGTGGGAAATTAATCATAATTATGAAAGGAATAAACATCAACCTGTCTGTATGATTTGATGGGTTTAACTTGATGAACTAAGAAACTTAAATATAAAAACTATTTAAAAATATTCTAATTTCTAACTCTATATGAGATAAACCAATTAAACAGTGTTAGTGCTCTAAGCAATACATGTGACATTTTGACCTCCAGCTGGCACCTCGCTGGTTTCATGATTTGTGACGTGTTAGATAAAACTCAGCTATGCCTGAGTAACAGCATATCTGACTGCATTGATTTAGGTAAAGGAGCAAATTTGCAAAAGCATGTTTAACAGCAGCAATCTAACTAATATTAATATTATCACAATCAACAATGTTTCTTTCTCTTTTTATTCTCCCACTCACCTGTGGGCCCATTGGGTATCCAGGGTGAGACTGTCCCAGCTGACTCTGCTCAGACGGGCTGCTGCTGGCGTCAGACTGAACTGATCCGTCACGAACTCCTAAAAGAGAGACGGGGATAGAGCAGAGCAGAAAAAGCACAAATTAGAGCGTAAACAAAGATTCAACCTGTGATCAACACAGACTTTATAAGCAGATAAACACAGAGCACATACCAAGCTGTGATATTACAGCGCTGAGTAGAGAGGGCAGCGAGGAAGGGGGGGAGGAATTTGTATTTAAGTGCTTTATCAATAACCACTGTAGCACTGAATAAATTACCAACCAGCAGAGAGAGTCATTGATGGTGGATGATGCATACTGGCGGGTCCCCGATGGCCTAGATTACCGCAGAGAGATAGAGCTCCACCACAAACGCTGGGGCCATATTATTCAGCCATTTACATCGCTGAGTATCACTCATCTGAGCCCACTCCCCCCTCTGCTCTGAGCCTGCAGCTATGAGACACAATTAGACCTGTTTGCTATGAGGGCAGAGTGGAGCTGAGCAGACAGGGACATGATAATAAGCTTGCTGATGGCTGCAGGGAAAATAAAGGCCACAGATGATTGGTTATCATAGCAATCTCTATCTCACATAATCTCTCAGCAGTGCATCCAGCTTGGGCTGCTCTAAAAGGTCCAAGAGGCTGATTTGACCCTTAAACTTCTACCTACATGATATCAACATCACATGATATCTCACTGTAGACACATAGACTTTAGGAGGGTTTTTTTTCCTCACGACGCAAAGGAATTTAATATTAAAGCCCAACAGTTTATTATTTTTGGAAAAGAGGGAACCTACACTGGAATATCAATCCAAGAAGGGTGAATTTAGCATGTTTAATATATTCAAAACGAAAATAATGTTAAACAAACTTCTTTAACTCTTCAATCCATTTTAATATTAATTCTAAAATTGCAAAATCAAAGTAAAACACATGTAACCATTAAGAAATTTTGCTTGAACAGAGGGTTTAAAGGCCAGAATTGCACTTTAGTAGTTTCTTAGCAATAGTTCTTTTTGTTCCCACAATGATCCTTACAACTACTGTAAGCTAAGAAAGATAGAGGAACACAAGATCAAGAGCTGACCCATTGAGACCAGCCACCATCTAAAATATTGTGTGCAACTAAATATTGTTTGAGATCCAATTAATTTAAACAGCGACCAGTTAAACACTTTAAACAATTAAATATTAAATCTGTGTTAAAATAATTAAAAGTATAGTGGAGGATGTTCTTTTCCGCATGGATCATCTAAATAAGTGGTCTTCCTAATTGTCAATCATTCTGGTGATATGTTTACGTTAGGCAGTCCTAGGTGATCGTCCTTATTTTCACTTACCAGTGGCGAATCTGACATAGTGGAAAAATTGCAAATCTTCTTTTGGAAAGTAAGCTTGTAAGAGTGATGCAAACTGCAACTTTTAAACAGAGCGTGCACAAGGAGAAAGGGGCTCGTGCACGCTCTCACACATGTATAATAGATGTTCCCTCTTGGGAGGGGTACAGGGTTGTGCATGTGCATAATTTTTTTTTAAATGGAGAGGGCAGCTCTTTTCAAAAATTTGCGAAAAGGTTTAAGGTATCTTGTCCCTATTTAATAAAAAATCATGGCTATAGATATGTTTATAAAGCATTATATACTGTAAAGATTTATAAAGCATTTATATTTGAGCTTTAATACATTTTAAATATTTTCTCTGAGTTATACCTTTTAACCCTTGAATCCTTGTTACCTCTAGCTCTATTAAATTTTTCTAAAAGAACAAAGTTGACAATATAGCCTTTTTTAATGACTGATGCCTCCCTGTTTCAAAAGTGTTGCCCTGTTTCAAAGCTTGTTGGCCTTAGTTTAACCTTTATGTTAATAAAATAAAGCCCAATGTATGAATGCATACCTAAGCTGTCACTGTGTATGAAGACAGCAATGAAATGAAAAAAGTTAGATCAAATTTCAGCCATGAGGTCGAGTTGCTTTATCGCAGCTTTGAAAGAAGCATATATCTCATGTTCAATGTGCTTTTTTATACAAAGAAGAAATTGTGTTTTCTTTTTCCTTTTTTCATAACCATACAGCCCATCCATTGGGTTCAAACGTTTTATAGAAGAAACTTTCTTTTCCAGTGTCCTGCCGAAAAGATCTTATTGCATGTCAAGTATATTTACATGGTACAATTTAAGCTCCCCTCCGCCAACTAAAATCACTTCATCTTTGCATAAAATCCAAATAATTGGTGAATGACGTGACCTACCAAATGAACCTTACGCATTTGATGGCTGATGTGAAAGCCCAAGGGGGGAAGCCTGCTTTTTCTAGCTGGTTTCTACCTCTGGCTTGATGGCCCTGCTTCTCGATAAAGGTCCGCATCCTCCCGCTTATCAGCCTCACAACGCTGGCGCTGTTTTGACAAGCCAGTCTCTTTTCACCAATTATTTTACCCATTACAGATAACTTTGTGCCTGCATGGCTCCACCCTGCGCACTCAGTAAATGGAATCAGGATCAATGCAAACATATCAGAGATTGAATCTCAGCTGAATATAAATAAAATGATGAGGAAAGGTAAATGTTCCCCTTAAAGATTTATTTTTGCTTTTGTTTGGAAACATATTTTAAATCACCAGAAAAGAATGCAATGATCAGACAAACATTACCCGAATAAATAAATATTGATTTTAGTTATAAAGAGAGAAAAGCTTTTCAGAACAACCTGGAACCCAGTGCAAATATATTTGCCCTGGTTGTATGTCATAAATAAATAGCCATTAACCATATTGTTGGTTTTAATATAGATTTGTAAAATAATACTTCGATTGAAACTTTATATAAACATGAAGCAGCCTACAGGATCTTAAATAGCAACACATAATGTCACAGATTTAAAGAGAAAAGAAGAACATATAAGAAACAAAGTGCGTGGGACACAAAGCCATCTCAGAGCCTTTGTATTTCCATCCAGTGAAAGCCTTCCTCCATAAATGGAGAAAACTTGTAACAGTGGGGACTCCACTACCAAAGCCACTCCAGGAGTGTTAAGATCATTGTTTGGATTGCATTGCCAACACACAGTATTCTGTGACAAAAGTGGATTTTTTTGTTAAATGTTGTCTCCTATTGTCTACTGTAAAACAAACACAGCATCTTAAAAGTCATCCCACCTATATGATTGAGGTAGAGTGATAACCAAGGGCTAATTTGCTTCTTTAGAAGACAATCAATTGCAATTGAAGAAACCATTAATTCTGTTACTTTAACAGAAAAAATCAAGAGAGAAATCTAAAAATCAAATTCAGGTTGTCTTTGGGGTATGCTAAAACATAAAAGTAAAATGAAGGTGTTGAGGGGGCCTAATTGAAGTCATGTTCATGCTCAATAACCCTCCAATGGGACATTTACTTCTTCACAAAAGATCAGATTGAATTGAAAAACATTTTTTCCCCTAATAAATAAAATAATTCATCAATTTGTAACGTTCCGATGTGATAAATCAATTATTAAGATGATGATAGATTTAAATAAAGACAATAATTTACTTATGTATATTTTTCCCTTTACTAAAGGGTCTGGATTACAAAATTTGTCACTTGTATGTGTAAATGTAAATCCCTTTATTGTCCCACAATGTGGAAATTCACTCTCTGCATTTAACCTATCCCCTTGGGCAGCAGTGGGTTGCCATTGTGTGGCGCCCGGGGAGCAATGTGGGGATAAGGGTCTTCCTCAGGAATCCAAAGTGGAGGCTGTCGGGATCAAACAGGGTACTTTCAACCTTCTCAGAGCACAAGCGCACTCTTCTAACCACTAGGCCAACACTCCACGTATCTGCCCCTAAGGAGCATCAAGCCAGAGAAACACCAGCTGAGATTTTGAAAAGAAAAACTGAGACAAAATCAGTTTCAAAGCCCTTTGCATTCAAACGGAATGACATGATTATTGTTTAACACAATAATTGCTGGAACAATATATCATCCAGAAATATTTCTTATCATGCACGACCTTAATGTAATGAAAAAAAAAAGAAAAACAGAAGAAATCTATAAAGAGTAAATCATATTTTAACAAATAAAGTTTATTCTGAAATGTTTAAACACAATTCCACCGGAGTGCATGTTATTAGATGTATTCTCTCATTTCATTTCTTACTATTGGGCAAAAAAAAAATAAAGTTTCCGTTATTTTTTAATGTGCTGTAAGTCAACTTTCAAACCATATTAAAAGTGCTTTAATATGCTGCCTCCATAGTGTGATGAAAATAAGACATAATAACATTTTAAAAGAGGCCTTTTCAGTGAATAAAATGCAATAGTTATTCCAACACCATAATAACATAACCAATTAGCAAAATGATTAAATAAGATGACAAAATAAATGATCAATAAACTCCAAACAGTAAGACCGATGACTTTTATTAAGATATTGCTCATTAATAATGTATTTCACCTGATAAGCAGAACAGCAGACCTACCAAATAACGATTGCTTGATGCCTTTCATCACATCATCTCACAATAACTTAGAAGGCTTCATCTCTTTGCAAATATCTGTAAAGTTAACATGTTTATATCAGGAGACGAAAATCGATAATAAATAAATTCTCATGCACAGCTTCCCTCTTAGGATTTGTGTAATTTCTTTAATAGCTGACTGCAGAGACACCCAGGGAGTCAGTCTTTTCAATTCCTCTTTTATCACTAGAATCTTAGCGCATGTCAAGCTTTCATGTCTTAAAAAATAACTGCAGGAATGAATTTCTAATGTATTTCTAAATGGAGATTAATTCTGTGTTCAGAAAAGGGGTTAAAAGCGTATGTCTTGATCAAATCTTTGCTCAAAAGGAATTCCTTTGAATCCTGGATTGCACATAGGTCATAAAGTGGATAAAATGGAATGAAAGGAAATATTGACGTGAGGAACGACGGACAAAGAGGCCAAACGATAATAAAAATAGGGGACGCACATTCAACAGAGGCTTATATTCACACAGAGCATTTCTTTCAGCATTCAGTTGTTCAACTTTTTGAACAGTTCATGTTTAAACAACACATCTGACCCCA